AAACTATACAAATCAGAGGCTTTTTTTCACAAAAAATCATAAGAGTAAAAATACTCGTAAGTCATACACATTTTAGTATAACTTACGATCAATTTTAAGGTTTATAACCCCTTCTGTGGCACTTTGAATTGCGAAATTTTCAAAGTGTGATAATATCAAAACAGCAAAAATACTGAATAAATGAGACATACCATTTTGTATATATACCAAAGGGAAACGTCTTTAATATTAATATTTATTGTCTAATTGCATTTAGTAGAAAATGTGGATTTTGTGTCAACTCAAGCCCAACTTTTTGTAGAAAATCCACAGACTTTATCACAGAGACTTTCTTTATAACATTTGAAACCAAGATTACTCACTAGTTCATCTATGGAGTGCTAGCGTTTATTGTTTCCAAAAGTCCTAAACAACATTTACAATCCAAAAAAACCTCGTGGTGAGTCATTAAAGTCGAGCGCACCCTGAAAGGTGTACTTGAGTTGGTCCATATTTGTACTCGTTTTAACTATTAACTTTATTTCAAGACTTGTTTTGGGGAGATCATTGCTATCACTGCATTTATAAATCCATTTTCTATTTAGTACACAATTGTCAAATATAAGAGTACACGGGGAAAGGCTGTGGATTTTCTATAAAATTTACACATCCTTAGCATTGAAATAACAAAGGGGTACATAATCCTTAATCGTTAAATTTTTCGTGAAAAGAGTTACAGTTGAAAAGAGCTTAACACATCAGATCGATACAAAGCAGAAAAACATCTAACAAAATCACAGACCGCACATTGCAGGAATTTATACATCCCTAACAACAAAAAAGACACATAGTACAGATCTGAGAATACTCGCAGTTAATGACAGCTAGTTCAAAGCCAGCACAACTAATTTAAAAAATGCATGTATTAAGACTAAAATATCAATCAGTACACATTCAACTTCAAATTGATTTAGTGTAAAGACGTCATTCACTGTAAAAAAAAAAAAAAAAAAAAAAAAACATGACCTTGTGCAATGTCAAAATATAGGTATCGACAGATTGTAGTACCGTGAAAGTGCATAGGTGTATACCAATAATATTTAGTATGGTTTAAATTTACTGATAACAAAATCAATATTTATACCAATAAAAACAATATTCAAAGAGCTAATTACAGTGTTGAATTGGAAACCTTTTAGAATAAGTTTATTTAAAGGATTGATAAGTTTACCCGGATCGTATCTAAATTTTCGGGCTCGGTAAACAACATCACCGTAAAAATTAGGATGTGCTATTCCGGTTAAAATTAGTTTTCTACAGGTACAGCCAAACTTGTAAACCAAATCTTTGTATCTACGGAAGAATTAATAAAGTAGTTTAATAGTTTGTGGTAACGGAATCCCTTACTTAATTGAAATCCAAAACGTCACTAATATACAGACACAGGCATAGCGAACGAGTTGGGGTATTTAAACACCGTAAGACGGTGTCAAAGGAAAATCACCGTCCAAAAAAGGAGAATTGACAATAGGGAAAGAAAAATCGTCCCTTTTGACGTGAATATTTGTTTAGAGTTTCTCGTGTAAATCTAAAATATCTTAATCTAGGAAAGAGAATTCTTGATTATTTAACGAACAAATATTATCAAGATAACGGTAAGTGTTATTGAATTTATAAATCAAATGTAGACGGGTGTTTACTGAGTTTGGCCATAAACTGTGATTCATAACAGTACATGAACAAGTCTGCTATTAAAGGGGCGCAATGACGATTGAAGTATTATCTGATTTTTTTCTTATATACAAATGCATTTTACACTTAAAAAATTATTTTCTTTGCGTAAGAAGAATATTATAAGCAAAAAGTACTCAGTATCTTAAGGAATTTGCAATATTTAATATTCAATACTTTTTGTTTATTCACTCACTTACGACGCACCAACTGGATTAAGTGCTACAAGAGGAACTTGTTAGTAAACCTCTTTTAAATTAACAATCTCTTTAATTTGCCCTTTTGTAAATAGAGTAAGCCCATTCAGGGGTGCAGGAGGCCCGAATTCCTACCCCTTATGGAGCTACAAATACGGTAAATGCATACACCTTTATATGTCAAACTCCTAACGTTGCCTAGTTTTGGGGCCCCCTTTTTTCAAAATCCTTGATCCGCATATGCTATTTGAATTTTTCTGCAATGTGAGTGAAATTTGGGCCGGGTTTATATTGAGCTAAACTCGGTGTGGTGTTGTAAACGTATATTTGTTCCGCCTAACAGAAGTTCCATGCACTGGAAACTTTGTTATAAACAATGTCATAATATCAGTTCCTGTTGGAACAAATATTCTATAATCTTTATTCCGTTAGGAACAAATACTATTGTAATATTTGTTCCAGAGGGAATACTATTACAGAATATCTCTTCCTTTGGAACTTATATTATGAAGGAACTTCTATTTCATGACAATGTAAGTGTACTCTACACTTAAACTAAACTCTTTTTCGTTCCAATTGATAAAATCAATGTTTAAAACTCGTTTTGACTTCATGCAGTCGATAGTCAATGTAGGCCTTGTGTGGGTTAAGTGTTCATAAAACTAGATATAAAGAACATGGATTGTATTGTCAAAATTTAAGGAAGTTACATATATTGAATAAAATAATTATAATAATATTATGAATTAAGTTCTTTACCTTAAGTATTTATATGACAAAGACTCAAAAATTGTTCAGTTAAAAACACGATTAAATTTAATAGTATTAGTGGACCCTTTGATTTTCAATGGGAGGGGGATTTTTGGCTGATAGAATATCATTTTACACCGGTTGATAGTTCGGCTTATTTATTTAGAGTGAAAATCATTTTCAATTTTTTGTACACAACTATTTCTTGAAAAGTCTTGCATTTTGAATGACAAAATATTCATTTTCAGCATGTCTTGGACAAGGTTATTTTTACAGTTTAGTACCAGTTCAGGCTATTCATTTCCAAAATCACCCATGTGTGACTGGGGAATAGAAATATGGTCACTTAGGTCTACTTCCATTCGGCCGTAAAACCCTTGCCAAAGTGGGCGTCTGTTTGGCTATGCAGAATGTATACAAGTACTCAGCCACGTCCGATCAAAATAAGGACATTAAATCCGATGCCTCGTGTAGAGAGAATGCCACGCTCTCTGCATGTTAAGAACCTTTGCAACAATTCTTCGAGGGGACCGTAGGTGGCCTGTTGCAAGGTAAAATGTCTGTCCCTATCCAATATACTCTCATTTTTCATTGGCAGTCCACATTTTCCCGATCTTTATATCAATGAATAACATACATAAACATTTTTTGAAATCCGGTCGTTTTCAAAGGAATCAAACAATTTTTCTCACTTCCCTTCTGAAACAAATATTTAAAAAAATAATTTTTTTGTAATTTTGATAATGCAAATGTTGAAATTAAAATAGATACTTTAACATGCAAGTTATGCAAATATTCAAAGTCGATGAACCATGACTGAAGGTACATGGCTAAACAATCTCCATGGAATGAGATGTGCCAATGCTAATACAACTGCATACCAAATACCATTGACTTATTATAAGTCGTTCCCTTTAAACAAACCTAAACACAAACATTAACTTGTAAACTATGTAAAAGTTTCAAAGTCAATGAACCAGGATCAGAGGTAGGGCTATATAATCTCCATGGAAACGATACTTGCAAATGCTCATAAATTTGCATACCAAATATCATTGACTTAACATTAACAGTTCATCTTAAACTGATCTAATCACAAACTAATACATGTAAACTAAGCAAAAGTTTCAAAGTCAATAGACCATGACTGAGGGGGCGGGGCCAAATATTCTCCATGGAAATGAGATGTGGTAATGCCTATACATTTGCACACCAATTAACATTGGCCTATCACTAATGGTTCCCCTTGAACTGACCTAATCACAAACTAATACATGTTAACTTAGCAAAATTTTCAAAGTCTATAGACCATGACTAAGGGGGCGGAGCCAAATAATCTCCATGGAAATGAGAGATGCCAATGCTTATACAGCTGCATACCAAATATCATTGACCTACCACTAGTGGGTCCCCATAAATTGACCTAATCACAAACTAATACATGTAAACTATGAAAAGTTTCAAAGTCAATAGACCTTGACTGAGGGGGCGGGGCCAAATAATCTTCATGGTAATGAGATGTGCCAATGCTAATACAACTGCATACCAAATATCATTGACCTACCACTATTGGTTTACCATGAACTAGACCTAATCACAAACTAATACATTGTTGACGCCGCCGCCGCCGACGCCGGAAATAGCATACCTATGTCTCGCTTTTAGACTCCGTCAAGGCGAGACAAAAACCAATTTATCTCCCCCTCCAAAAAATAAATAGATTAAAATTGAGAAATATAAATATGAATTGGTCTGCGCCTAACTGATACAAAAGTTTATATATATGTTGTGTACAAGATGTAAGTTTGTACAAATTATAATTTGTACAGGGTTTTTGTACAAGTTATAAGTTTTTTGACACATACCTTCTTGCACCAGGTGATAAAAGTTTATCTTCTAAAATGTATCAGTTTAATGTCTTAAATTCAAATTTATATTCTTCAACCTAACATTTAGTGCTATTCTCTTTGTCCTCAAACTGGAAATGAGCACACCTGAATGGTTTAAATTCTAATTTTATTTTTCTCCTTATACCAAAATCATATCCATAAAAATTCTTTTTGTGTTCTTATAATATTTTTGTATCAATGCTCAGTATTAGACTGTATCATGTAGTTGTGGAAATATGACAGAAATATGCGAAACAAAAGACTGTGTGCTTGCATCAGTCATTTGTGTTTAGCGGTTCATAAAACACTGATAACTTGTACAAAAAATCTGTACAAATTATAATTTGTACAACATTACAACTTGTACACAACATATATAAAGAGAAATTTGTAATTTAATTCTATGTAATGTACATGTAAATTACGTGTACATGTTGTTTACTGGTGTGAACAATTTTAATATACAGGTAATTAAAACCGATGTTTAGATGAGAAAAAAATTAATGTGAAACCAGTGTCTAATCGTAAACAGGTTTACACTTGACCTATAATGGCTTACTTTTATAAATTTTGACTTGGATGGAGAGTTGTCTCATTGGCACTCATACATGTACCACATCTTCTTATATCTATTCACAGTACGCAGCGTTTGGTGTGGACACGGCCTTGTACATGTAGCGACAACACCATGTACGTAATATGAACTTATATTATTTGGAGGTCATGATTTGTTGAGATTTTATACTTTCTTGTCACGACCTAGTTGCTACAAATTGGTCATAATATTATATACCGACCGGATGTTTGAGTTGACACAAGTGAATACAATTCGATCGAAGTTATAAACAGGTAAGTGCGTTTGTACCGCGCACAGAACAAGAATAATAATGTGATAATTTATTAAAAAAAAGTTACAAATTTATTAAGACACTAAATCTATGAAATTTAAGGTTCATCTATACACTTCATCAAAAATGGCTATGTTTACACCATGAAACTTTCTCTGAATGCAGACAAAACTGTGTAATTTTAATAGTTTTAAATCCTGGCAGCACCTCGATATATACAAGTTGTATTCATTTTGTGTTTTAAAAAGATAAAAACCTGTGTGGTTTTTGCTACACATTTTCTTTCCTTTCCACAGGTGGTTTAAAAATAAATTACACCCCAGTTCTATTGTTATACTTCATAGTTTCTATTTCTGAAACAAGTGTTGTACGACTTTGCCCACAGCAGAGCTATAGAAAAACAGTACATTAACGGGTGTTACACGGACACTTTTTAGATGATACACGGACACTTTTTAGTTGTTACACGGACACTTTTTATGAATAGAATCACTCGTGCATGATCAGTGAGTTCATGGGCACTTTAAATTTCAATCAGATTTGAACTTTTTGTTTCACCGACATATTTCCTGTCTTTTTAATTAAAAATATTTACGTTAGCACCAATAACTATATTTTTTTTCAAACAATTCCAGTAACTATTCATATTAGTACACTAAGGGGTTGACCATTTAACTTCAAAAGGCCGGTTATGGACTTTTCCTAAAAAAACACATTTTGATCCCCAATTTTCTGAGAAAAAATATATAATGGTCAAGCAGATGACACTGAAAATAATGTTCTGGCTCCTGATTTTCCGAATACCGTATATAAAAGTGCTGATTTCGAAAAAAAATATATTTGGGCGATAGCGTTGAAAAACTAAATAATTTTCTTACTCAGAAAAGAACACACCCCCTTTTGAAGCTAAATAGTCGGTCCGTAAATGTAATTTTTTTTCAATATATGGACATGAATAGTATTCTGGACAATGCTGAAAGAAATGCTGGTACCAACGTTTATATTTCAATAAAAAGACAGGAAATATATATATAAAAATCAAATCTAATCAAAAGATAAAATCCCTATCAACTCACCAATGCACGATTGATCCTATAAATAAAAAGTGTCCGTGTAATACATGTTCAAATATGCAGCAAATCGTAAAGAAAATAATTCAACTTATGTCATCAATTTTGGACGGTAAGCTCTGATTGGATCATATAGTGACACGTGTTTAATCCTGATCAACACTATCAGAGACATATAAAAATCTATAAGCATGAACATTTTTTTTTTAATCCAAAACATATGCCTATATATATATATATAATAACAAGACATGGACATGGCACATCCTGCATTTTTTCAACAAAAAAAGGATGAAGCCTGTTTATCTTAAATTTATTTTAACCTCCCCCCCCCCCCCCCCCCCCCCCAATAAAATCAAATGGTAGCTTGCTTACCTCTGAAATCTTTTTTATACATTACTTACTTGCGAAGTTGTATTTCAAAAAGTCTCAAATGTGTATAACATTCACCTTTAACTTGAAATGGTTCTTTTTATAAAGTTATTAGATTCTTGATTTTTTTGAGAAAAAACTCTCGGCTGAAGGGAAGTGAGAAAAAAAATTTAGTTTAAACTGTAACTTACATTAACTGGTATATGGCCATTTAAGTTTCTAATATCTTTAGTTTTGCTACCTCTTCTAAATGCAAAATGTACTTCTTCCTTCTTGAAACGTCGTACAAGTCAGATACAAAACAAAGGTAACAAAAAACAGGCCGGAAACAACCTGCCGTATAGTTTGTCTGCACTTGTAGTCAGGTCAAGGTCCTCGGCTATCGCCTCGGACCTTGACCTGACTACTCGTGCAGAAAAACTATCCGGCAACGGTTGTTACCGGCCTGTTTCTTTGTTACCTTTGTATTGTATCTAACACTAAATTGAATAGATCTTTTGTTACGAATAACAATTGATTTTGACCACAGGGTGTGACGAGCGGGGTTTCTGGAAACCCCTGCTTCTTCATCCCGAAAACACAGTCCTTTGTTATTCAAAAAATAGAAATTGATTTTTTTAATAGCATGAACATAAGAGATTACTAATAGTGTTCACTACAAGTTGTTTCAAGACATATTAAAGTATTAAAATATTAAAAAAACATATTTCAGGAAATTCCCGTAGCGAAAAAAAATATTGTTTTGAATAAAAAAAATCATTTAAATACTCCTTTGCTTGAAGCTACAATTTTAATCCCATAAGGCAATGTCTTAAAGAACATACATGTAAAGAACTTTTATTTGAATTATACATTAAAAACATATAGTTTTCATTTTGACTAAGTCTTAATCATAAAATAAATATTAATTGTTTGGATTGTTGAAGACTAATTAATGATAGCACCCAGGGGCGGATCCAGCCATTTTTAAAAGGGGGTGTCAACCCAGAATAAAAGGGGAGTCCAGTCATATGTCTTTATTATAAAGCATTGATCGTACAAAAATGGGGGCTTAGATCCCCCTGAACCCCCCTCACCGTTGGATGGCCCCCAAAAAGGGGGGTATCTAAATATGCAATCTGTATTTTTGTATGTTAAGCGTGTCCGGTCGTCGGGTTTCTAATTCAGACACACCTATCCCTCAGTATGTTCGAATATGAATGTTTGTTTAATGTTGAGAAGAGTGGGGGGGGGGGGGCTTTTTTTTTTTGATAAATCCATCCGTGACATATAAAATACATTTATGATTACTTTAATTAAACTGATACTTGTAAGTACTTTGGGTTATAAATATTGCCTTCATCTTTAGTCTCTTCTACCAATTCAAACGCCTGACTCAAAAGGTCGTCCGCCTTATACCCGTCCATATTGACAACTGCATACAAAGAGCATGATGTATTTTATTTTTGTAATAAGAATGCAAGATACGATCAACCTTGACCTGCTGATCCATTTTAGCACATGGATTTAACGGGAATATGCGAAACGGCAACTTTGACATTTGTAAAATCTACTCACTTGTCAAAGTAAGGTTACTAGTGGGGTTTCATCTAAAGAAAAATTCTTTTTTTCTTATAAATCATGGTTTGATATTTTCAATAAAAATGCTATCCGTTCTTTTTCATTTAATATTCAATGTAAACAAATATAGGGTTTAGCATCGGGTGTAAGTTAGTTATACACTTCGGGATACAGCGTGTCTGGATAAGAAACCCCTCCGGCCGTCGGGGTTTCTTATACAGACACACATATCCCTCAGTGTATAACTATTACTTACCCAAGTCATGTAAAATCTTTGAGATGGTCCCCCTCAGGTAATGATTGTATTGTATCATATTGATTGAAATGGACAATAGAGGGACAATAGAAATCTACTCACAACAAAGGTGATTTAAATAGTGTAAATGAGTGGACTGTATCAGAGAAAACTCAGGTGTTTGTTTATTTCACCATCTTATTTGGCAAGGAAAGAAAATGTTCATCAAAATCCATAAAGTATTTTTACTTTTTAGAACATAAATTGGATGTAACATTTATTTATCTAGGTGCTGCCAGGCTTAAAAACTTCAAAAATTACAGTTTTGTCTGTACTCAGAGAAAATTTCATGGTGTAAACACAGCCTTTTTGTTAAAGTGTATAGATGAACCTTAAGTTCCTCTTTTGTTATTGATGTGATATAAATGCCAAAGTATCATTGACTTAAATGACATTTAAAAACGACCGAGGTGTTTACAACCATGGCGAGATTAAAAGATAGTATGTTTAAGGTTCATCAAAAGGAATTGAAAAATAAGGCCGAGTTTACACCACCAAATCTACTATGAGTACAGACACACTGATGCATCTAGGAAAGTTTTAAGTCATGGCAGGACCTAGAGTAAACGTTATATGTAGTCTTTGTTTCAGAAAATTAAAAACTTACCTGGATTTTGATGTGCATTTTTTTCCAGTCTGCAGAAAATAGCAAAATAAACAAACTATGGAACGCCACAGCTGTCTTATGTGGAACTCTGATATTACTTTATGTTGTTTTATTATTACTTGATGATATTTTGTCTTTACTTAATATGGTTTTGACATTACGTAATGATGTTTTGATATAACTCAATATGGAATAGTCATTATTTAATGATATTTCGATATTACACGATATGGTTTCGTATTGACTTGATATAGTTTTGTCATTACTCAATATGGTTTTGTCATTACTCGATGTGGTTTCACCATTATTTAATGTGGTTGTGTCATTAGTCAGTGTGGTTTTAACATTACTTGATGTGAATGTGACTTAACGTTATGTAGTTGTTTCCTTACATGATGTGGTTTTGTTATTTCGTAGTGATGATTTGCCTATTCTTTATGTGGTTTTAACATTACGTAATGATATTTCAAAATTTGACGATTTTACACTACATGATGTGTTCGTTTCATTATTTGATGTGGTCCTGTCATTCTTTGATGTGGTTATCCCATTACTTGATGAGGTAAAACCACGTGACCGATTCGGAAAAAAATATGTTCTATTTTTAAACAGATTTCAATATATCATTTGTTTAATGTGCTTTGGATGGGTATCGCTATCCATTGAGTTAAAGTTCAAATTAAAGTTCGAGTGGTTGTTCAGAGTTATTTAGCATGAAAAAGGTAACCGACAGACAATAATAAGAAAAAAAAGTATTAAATAGTTTACAGTATTTCTTACATAATTGGGATATCCCCAAACCACTTTGTCTTGTTGTTTTTATCATAAGTTATCAAACGGAAGCAGCATTTTTGTAATAAATTTGTAAAATATTCCACGGAACCCTATGTCTCGCCTGATATTGCTGCTGTAAGTGTAAAAGCGTCATGTTGATCGGC